CTATACTATTTGATCAATCTTCTTGCACACGGATTCAAGAAAAAATACACCAAGAAATCAAATCACCATGCCCAGGGGTCTGAGCCCTCACAGTAATTGTGGGGACTTCCTGAGGTCCTCAATTCAGTATTTTCAAACTCATGGTCCTAGTCTGGACTTAACTGCAATGGATTTCCTGCACCAGGCATATGGTCTTAACTGTGTTCATCATTAACTGGGCATTACTTCTCCCAGAGGCTCCATCTGAAAGCCGGTGGTCTCCTTTCACCACCCTCACATCACAGAACAGCTGGAGGAATCCAATGCTGTGGTTCTCAGACCCTCGCCTGCTTGGAACCCACTGTCTTCCCTCCCATGTGCTCTGGTTCACATATGGCTTCTCGGTTAACACACAGCTAGTAGGTCTTTGCTTTGAGTGCTTTAGAATAGTTAAATGAGGGTCAAAATTCTTCCTATAGAAACTCTGAGGTATCTTTAAAGACCGACTGCTTCCTTGGAGAGTATAGGTGCTAAGTTAAAAAAAAAATAAAATCTGTAAACAAATTTTAATTTTTAAGCCAATAATCCCTGGGATCAATAAAAGTTCCTCAGTGTCTACTGTGCACAATCATGAGGGAAGGCATCAGCCTGCGGCTATAGTGGAGGGACCATCAAGCCCGACCCCAGTCTCCCCAACCCAGGCAAAAATCTGCACAAAGTGACAGCATTAGCCAGGCCCCCTGGAGAGTGCTGTTTGGTTGTAATTTCTGTGTCTCAAGGGTGTCTGGGAACACCGTGGACCTATGTCACTGCTGGGGGACAGTGGATCCCAGAACCATCTATGGCCAGTTTGTCAACACAAGGCAGTTTTCTCCTTTCTGATGTCTTGCTAACTGGTGGTATGAAGTCACCACTTTGGCCAAATCCTTATCTATGCCCAGCTGACTGACGTGGGAGCTGAAACAGCCTCACCATGCAGGAGGCTCTGGTGGAGCAGACAGGAAGCAGTTCACTGTGTGGGGGGAGCACTAGGGCCCTGTGAACTTGAGACCTGCCTGTGCCCAGGCACCTGCCCACGCAGATGTGCTGGGTATTGTGAAAAGCTGCGCGGGTTCTGTGAGTAGGGAAGGCACTAAGACACAGTGTCTATGCAAATGACTGTAAGAGATCCACCTGAATGCTGCACTTACATGCACTGTCTCGGGCATCATCTGAGCACTTCTGGAAAATAGCCCTTGAGGCTCTCTCACAATTAATAATAGTTTTCAAAAGGTTTTGACTGAACAGGACAAGAACAGTGAAGATGGCCTCTTGGCCACCTGAGTGCTTGCTGGCCACCACATGTGCCTGTCTTGGTGGTGGGCAGTGAGCTGCTGGGGAGCAAAGTCAGGACATCAGCTGAACAGCAGCATTAGCACACCATTTGGCATCAGCAGCAAAGCAGCCACCTGTAGCTGGGAGCCAGCTTTGTGCTGCACTGAGGGGGCGTCACCGCATCCCAGGCTTGACTGGGGACTAAGGGACCTGGGCATTTACTGGGTGTAGCTCCAAGGGATGGCAAACAGCTCAAGTGGATAACACTGAGAAGCTTAGGGGGCGTACTGGGCAGCCACATGCATGCACACAGGCGTCTCTGGTTATGAAGGGGGTGGGAGAGAAACTGGACTACTTCACACGCCCATGGGCCAGGAATTGTCACCGTTGAGTGCCAGAGTCTGGGTATTCTGCCTAATGAGGCAGAATGTGAAACAGGTTAGGGATGTGGGGGACAGTGACAAGAAAAGGTCATTTCTCAAAGCTCCTGAGGAGGAGTACAAGCAGCTCAAAGTTTTGCTCTTAGAGTCCCTACCTAGAATGCCCATCAAATGCCAGCTCCCCAGACAGTTAGGATGGGAGAGTGACTCTCAACGCTGTTTTGTAAATATTCCTATCTTTTGGGAACCCCAAACTTTGCTCTTCTACAACAGTTAAGAGGCAGCCCTCCAAGGGTAACTCTGCCCCTACTATCCAGGCTCTTCTTCAGTGTGGGACTGCACCAGCTTGGAGAATAGGCTCTGCTGGGGTAGAAAAGAGGGTGGGCTGTGACAGGGAGAGCAGGGACTTCCCTTGCTGGGGGGATGCAGAGAGGCTTCCAGAAGCAGGTGGAAAGATAATGGGGAGACTACACTCCCTCTCTCATCAGTGATCCTGCTCTGCTGGTCCTCTTTCCTGGTGGGGGATGCTGGTAGGATGCTGGACCCTAGCCCAGGCCCTGCTCTGAAGACACGCCGTCGTGAGCAAGAAGTCAAGGAAGGATCAAACCGTTGAACAGATTCTGCTTATACAGTAACTCAGGGCCAAGAACTGTCTCCCAGCTCCACCCCAGAGTCCAATGCACCAGACACCACCTCCCAGCCTCCCAACAAGCAGGAAAATGCCTGCCCCTCGACTGCTTTGCAAATTAAATGATGCTTCAAAACCTTAAGGTTCTCAAAGTCTTTCTGGTACTTCTCTCTCAGCGTGGCTGTGTTGCCCTCCAGGTCTTTGTGCTCCAGCTCCTCCCGCATGATGTCCATCTGAGCCTCCAGCTCCTGGATGCGCTCTCTCAGCCCTGTCATGGAGTCGGCCTCCCCAGTGGCCATCTGCAGAGCATCCTTGGGCTGGTCAGCCGGCCAGATGGAGGAAGGGGGCTGGTGGGGGCTGTTGGTCAGAAGGGCTTCCGGGGGCTGCCCCTGGTAGTGGCAGAGGGTCTCCTGCAGGCATTGTAAGCTCTGGGAGTAGTGCTCCTGCAAGGTCCTCAGCTCTTCCTCATGGATGGTCTGTAGCTCTTTGACCTTGAGCTGGAACTTGTCCTCTAGGGTCTGCATCTGCTCCACATGGTGCCTCTCCAAGTCCTGCCTGTCCCTGACTGAGGCACCCAGCTGGCTCAGAACGCGGCTGTGCTCAGCCTGCAGCGTGTCCTCTGCTCTGCTCAGCTGTTCCACCACACCCCTGATCTCTGCCTCGTACTGACCCCGCAGGGCACACATGCTCTCGCTGTGCTTGCTTTCCACTTCCTCCAGGTACCTCTGCTGCTGGTCCAGCCGGGTGACCTGGGCCTTGAGCGCTGCGTTCTCCCTTTGAATGACGGCAATCACCTCCAGGTACTCGTGCTTCTGCTTCCGGAGAAGCTCCTTATACTCCTCCCTCAGGGCTCCAACTGCCTGCTCGTGCTCCTGGCAGGAGGGCCCCCTACTCTGCCAGGACTCCTTGTAGCACTGAAGCTCCTTTTCATACTCCAGCCGGATTTTACAGGCTGCATAACACACCTGAGCCTGAATAATTGCATCTTTAACTAATAATGAAGAATACTGACCAAGGCCTCCCAAGTAAGTGTGATAGGAGAGACTCCGGGACACCTGAAGAAGCTTCTGACAATCTCTTACTGATTCCACAGGGGGGAGAGAAGTTAAAGAGGCAGATATCTCTCCTAATAGGCTGGCCTTATCTTTAAGCTGTAAGGCAAGTTCTTCCTGAATAGCAACAAGGGCCCTGGAGCTCTGGTCGGGGTCGGACACAGGGAAGTTCTCCTGGAAGCTGGCTGTGTCTTGATAACTCAGTTCTTCTACTGGGCCCAAGTCCCAGGATGCCTGTACACCATCTGCAATGCCTGCTGGAAGCTTGAGGGCCTCTGCGACCTGCTGCATCACTCTTTCAAAGTCAGGGGTTTGGTAGGCTCCCAGGATTTCCCCCAGCACATGCTTATGCTGCTGTAGGGCTGCCTGGGTCCCCCAGAGAGTCTTCTGGATGTTCTGCAACCTACGGTGGAATGACTCCCTCACTGACTGCACAGCAAAGCTGAGCTCTGCCCTAACCCACGTCGCATCTGCCAGGGCGGGGACCAGGGCCTGTGGGATGCTCTGCTGCCCACCTCCTGATGCACCGGCCGCCTCTTCCCCCACCGTCCCCAGGTGCTTACTCAGCGACTCAACCTGGCTCCAGAATTCACCATCCACCAGCACCTTCTTAGCCCAGGTGTCTGCTGGGGCTCCAAGACAGACTGCAGCACTACCAGACTCCAGGGGCAACTTTCCTGACTGAGAAATCTCGTGGAGAATGTGCGAGATATCCAACGTCGTGTTTTTTAAAGAGTCTGCTATTTGGTTGATCAGTGAGGCCTCCAGAGCTATTTGATCAGAAAGGAGCTTCAGCTGCTCCTGCTCCGTCACCTCAGGCAGGTGAGGTGGCTGCTGCAAAGTCTCTTTCCCTTTCTCTAAGAAGCTCCCTTCCTCTAGCTGAGCTTGGACCCCGCTGTCTGCAGGGGCTGGCCAGTGACGCAGGGCCTGGATGGCACTTACTAGCACGCTCTCCACGCTGGCCAGGGGCCCTGCACCTGCCTCCTGTGCTTCCTCCTGGCCAGACCCTGGCAGAGATCGTAGCTGTTCTCGGCAATTTTCTAAGCAAGCCAGGGCCTGAGTGTTTTTTTCCTGGAAATTGCCAAGCTCCCCTACATGATTTTCAACTATCTTCACCCTGGCCTGCTTTTCCTGCTCCAGCTGGGAGGCTAGCACGCCAACCTGGAGCAGGCTGGCACGGAGCTGCTCGCGGAGCTGTGCCTCGGTGCCAGCCCACTGATGGTGCAGCGTGAGCAGGGCCTCCTGGCTCTGGCCCTGCTGGCTCTCCAGTTTCACTGTCACATCTTTGAGCTTCTCTTCTGTAATGTAGAGCTTGGTCTCCAGGGAGTGTATTATGGAGAGGTAGGTGTCAGAGTCACTGGTTGCAGGGAGTGAACTGAGGGTGGCCTCCGATGACATGCTTTCCTCCGAGGGTGACCGGTCCTGACTGGTATCGGAAGATGTGCTACTGGTCCAGTTCTTCTCGGACCCATCAGGGTGGGCGTATTTCTGACACTGGATCGTGGAGAACCGGATTCTTTGCCTTTTAACGCTGGGTACCCCCTGCTCAAATTTTGCTGTGTTCTTCGAAAACCCCTCCTTGTCAGGCACTTCTGACTTTAGGGGCATCATGTGTGCTTCTCTCCTAGGGCTGCTGTGCCCATGCTTATCCCTAAGGGCAGCCCCTGGGTCTTCTTCCTCGGGCCTTGGTTGTGGGAAGCCTGGAGATGTGCCTGAGGCTTGGAGTTGTGGGCCTGGAAGTGCAAGGCCACCCTCTGTTGCTTCTGGGGAGCTCGGCGGCTCCTCCGTTTCCTCTGGGGACGCCTTTGTCAATTTCCTTAAAATCTCTTCCTTTGTCTGGAGCTTCATTTCTGTTTCCTCTAAGCTGCTCCCCAAGGCAACCATTTTAACCAAAGCCTCACTGAGGTCCTGATCTTTCTTCCCCAGAGCTCTCTCATGTACTTCCTTGATGTGCTTCAGCTCTTCCTCCTTTTCTCTCAGCAGTGTGTGCATGCCCTGGAGCTGGTGGGCCACTCTCCTATAGGAGTGCTCCAGGCTCTGGTAGTCTGCCTCTCTTCCCCTTAGCTTTTCCTGAAGCTCAGCAACATCCCCATCAGACAGGGTGATGCGCTCCATCAGCTCCTGGAACCGCTGCTTGATCAGATCCCGCTCATCTCTGAGGCTTTGGACATGCTCGGCCAGCTTCTGAATGCTGGCCTCCTTCATCTCCAGTTGCTCCTCCAGCTGGTGCACTACCTTGCTGCCCTCAAACTTGGCACTCAGCTTCTCCTTCTGGAGGACCTCCATCTGCTGCTCGTGGTCCTGGAGCTGGTCCTCATAGGCGCTGGCCTTGTCCTCTACCTCCTTCAGGTTCTGCAGTAGCACCTGCTTTTCCTTCTCACAGCTCTCTAGTAGCAGTTCGTAGTTTCTCTGCAGCTTCTCCTCCATCAGCCTCTGGGCCTGCTCACTAGCACTGAGCTGCTGACTGAGGTCAGCGATGCGCTCCTGGAGCCTTTGCACCTCCTTCTGCCGGTCCCTCTGCAGCGCCTGCTGCGTCTCCAGGTCCCGCAGCTCCTGTGTCTTCTCCAGCAACAGGGCCTCCGCGCTCTTGAGCTTCTGCTCACTGGCCTGGAGCTGACCACTGAGGGCAGCCCTGCTGTGCTGCCATTCCTCCAAATGCTCACGGACCTTGTCCTTCTCCAGTTTCAGTTCACCCTTGAGCTTGGCCAGTGCCTGTTCCTTGATGGTGAGCTCAGCAGCAGCATTGCTGAGCCTCGCCTGGAGGCTGTGGATCTCGGCTTCGTGGTGCCGGACTGCATCCTTGGCCTCCCCGTAGCTGCGCTTCAGGGCCTGGGTCTGCTGCGTGGTCAGCCCCTGGCGCCGGCACTGGACCTCCAGCTCCCTTTGCAGATCTTGATTGACTCTGTGGAGCCTCTGCCAGGCACCAGATGGGGAGGTGGCCACTTCAGTCTTAAAAAAACCGATTAAACACTGGTTAGTAACACTCGGGCTTCCCAGTTCTGAGTGTCACACCTCTGGCCAGGGTCAATCACAGAAAAGCTCCTTGGTGGGTTTGCCTTTTATCCTTTGCACAAATTTTTTTTTTCATTAAAAAAAAAAAGGTCCAACAAATCATCTTAATTATTTTGATAAGTGCTGCTTCCAGGTAATTAGAAAACATGGATAACAACATCAAAACAACTCTAATTGAAAAGCTTCTAGGAGAAGTAAACCAAACAAAACTGGATAATGGAACACATGGGTAAGCAAAACAAAGACTGGGAGACGAGAGGGGCAGGGAGGAGTGGAGCAGAGATGGGCATCTGTTTGTTTTGCAAGACAAAAGGTACACAGCTCTAGACAATAAATCCTAAAAAAGCACAGGACGAGGGTGCAGGTGATGATGTCACTTCCTTCTAGGACAAGGAGAGAAGGGAGGGAGGCAACTGCTCCGGAATGTCAGGAGGTGACATCCGAACATTTTCCTTTTGGAAGTGAAGTTCGCCCTCCGCAGTAACAGGAGGAACTAATCTCTACCTGTAAGAAGACAAACGAAGGGAAAACAAAAACCATGGAATAAAATATGATCATCAACAAAACAAGCCTTCGTGGAATTCAAAGTAAGGAAGTGAAACATGCAAAAAACAAACAAAACACAAATGAAACAAAACTCCCCAGACGGAAAGGCATGCAGAATAGACAGAATAATGTAGGAAAAAAACAAGAACAGGAACAAAAGTGAGAACAGCCAGTCTAAGAATTTGGCCTGCCTGTGGCCCCTCTCAGTCTGCTGGGGAAGCCACAGATGTGACACTCAGTTACGTTATTAAGTTATACTCCACAGCAAGTCCAAACCATGCACGCTCCTCCTCCCAGCACAGTTAGCGCAGCGCCCATCCCAGGCAGACTCCTTCTGACCCTCAGTCTCCAAGGTCCTTGTTCATTCCCAAAACACAAAGGGGGGTTAAAAGCAACCTGCTATTAGACCTGGCGGGAAGGTGTTCAGAAGCCAGCTCTGACCAGTACCGACTGACAGGCTTGTGGTGCAGGCTCATGCAGTCATCCAGATTAGACACAGAGGAAAGTTCTTAGGTTAGCAATGTGCAAAATCTGCTGCTAGTATCTTTACCATCTGATGTGAGGTAAATTTGTGTAGGATGGGGGCCGAACCAAGGCTTAAAAGGATGCTCTCCAAATCTGGAGGTTCTGCACAAATGACCAGAAAGCCCAGAGTGAGCTGTATACAAAAGAGGAGTGTCCACCGTTGCCAGTTCGAGAGTATGAACTGGGCACTAACTACAGCAATAACTATAGCTGAAAGGGCTGGGGAGGAGGGTGCAGGGCACACAGGGTTAAAGCTGGGGGGAAAAGAAATGAAAGAAAGAGAAGGCAGAGGGAACATGCAACAACGGCATGGACAGAGGCAGGAAGGCAGACTCAGCCCAGAAGGTGCACATGCTGCCCCGGACGGCTGGGCCTGAGGCAGCCAGGGTATGGTGATCTGGAAATGTTGACATAGCAACTATTCATAGAGACTTGGGTCACTGAGAGCTGGAAGGCTCCTCAGGGACAAGGTCTAAGTCTACACAGGCAAGGAGAGGTTATGCTGTGGGGGAGGGGACACTACCTTCTGCTGGTGTCAGGGCCTGCACTTGAGGCCAGGTCCTCAGCCTTGGCAGAGAGCCCGGTTCCACCACCCCATTTTGCTTTTCCCCAGTACTCATCTGTTAGTTGTCTCTCCCTACCAGCATGTCACTCCATGGGGCAGGGAGTGTTGTTTTTACTCCAGAACCAGAACAGGGCCTAGAATGCTGAGGACAGACAGCCCACCCTGGCCCATTTGTCCAGCTGATCTAATGCCTGGCGAGGCACCCTCAGCAGTACACACTGCTCTCTGTGAATCTGCTTGCTGACCACAGAGATTTCTGGCAATGGATACTGGTTTGGGCTCTTGGCTTAGGACCCAGGCTGTGGCCCTCCTCATCTCCCCTTCTAGGCTGGCTGTGTGGGCTAGCTCAGGGCTGGGTGGCCACGTTTTCCCCCTCAAACTTCAATCTAAGTAGAAAGAAGGAAGTGGGGTCACTGGCTAGTAGTAACAGCCCAGGCCTGCCCTACAGGTATGCACAGACACGGACAGGGGCAGGTGATCCAGTGCTAGCTCTGCCACTAACTTGGTCTTTAGGAGGCACGTGACTGGCTATGCTACTCAATTTCCTTGATCTGTAAAACAGGCCAAATACTGCTTTTGTAAAAACTATTAGAAATGACATGCAAATACATGACATTTGCAATAAATATATATATTCAATTACTCTGAGAGTCAAAAGGAAAAAACACCAAAATTATTTTATTATAAAACAAAGAAAAAAACCTTAGACACATAAATTTCAGGCAGATTCCCCAAAATGTAATACTATAAGGAAAATACACATGGGCCACTGCACTAGAGCTGTGACCCTGCGACAGAGGAGCCCACAGGGTGGCACTTGGGAGAGGCGGCCCTGCTCAGGCAGGTTTTGCACATTCCTAGCCTGCCAGGGCCCTTCACATGGAGGTCCCTGAGTGCATCTCGAGCGTTGTGGCACCCCCTCAGCCCTACCTGCAGCACATAGCCCTCCCGGGCACTCTGCTCCCGGCCCAGAGCCACCCTCAGCTGGTCCTGTAGGAGCCGGTTCTGCTCCAAAAGGTCCGAGGCCTCCTTCTGGCTCTGCTCCAACTGTTGACAAAAAGACACACATTTTTAAGCAAAATGATGGTAACGAACAGAATCAGCAGCACAGTAGAGGCCCACAGTGGCTGAGCACAGAGACTCCTCCCTGGCCATCCACACACCCACAGGTCAGGGATAAGCTGATCTGCCCTTCACTGCAGTGTCTGGAACTGAAGGCTCCAGCTCAAGCCGTAAATATACATATAACACGGCAGACCAGTTACCCTGAAAGCCCACATAATTTCCACACCTGCTTAAGGTTCTGATATGCAGACCCCACCAGGAAATGAGGCTTTGTGCCTGCATCAGAGGGAAGATCATCCCACTGTGTCCTTTCAGTTTCCTCAGCACGGTAAAACAGCCCAGGGCTGCCCTGGGCAAACCTCACTCCCTCTGCTGCCTTGGCTTCCACTGCAACAATTCTACTTTTATACAATGGATTCCACATAAAATTCTGTTTGCAAGGAGGGTTCCTGAAGAGTTCCACAAGACATGGAAAGCAAGCAAGCTACTTTACACTCTTTGCTTTCAATGCTTTGAATTCAGTCATTCATTCACTCACTTCTTCCCCAAATATTCCCTAGGAGCCTAACGTTGCTGGGCTATGTAGGCCACTCTGCCTGCCCTGTCCCGAGGCTATGGTAAGCCGGGAGATGGAGCACAGCAGATAGGCAGGGCACTGCCAGGATGTGCTGTGAGAGGTATGGAGACCCTTGACTTTCAGACATTGCTGTTTAAAACAAATTTATGGGTCAGTGTGTGGCTTGCTGGCCAGTAGGCCTATTTTGGCAGCTTAGAGCAATATGAGTTTGAACTGTTATTTAGTGCATCTCGCCTTTATTATCTCGTCACTAGGCATAGAAAATGGAAATAAAATCAAAGTGTTCATGCTAATGATAAACGTCAGCCTTGTGAATTTAATAAATTAGGAAAAAGAAGAGAAGTGAAGGAGACCAAAGAGACAAATCTTTAACCTTAATTAGCTACTTATGTGAAAGAATACATTTGAAACATGAAACCCTAACACTTTGCCTCCTTGGCCAGGAACTCCCTGTTCAGATATAAAAATCCACCGTTGCAGTTCCCCAGATCTGATTTCTGGGTACACTGTCATGAAGAAACATATTATGCTACAAATGCAGGGGCTGATTTATTCATCTCTGTATCCAGGTGCCCAGAGGGGCCTGCTCTGCAAAAAGTCTCCACAGTGTGGCCCCCGCCAAATGAGTTCTAGGGCTCACTAACCAAGGCTTCTGTTTTTTATCTCAAACATCTAGAATCCACCTGCCTGCTGCTGGTGCCCTGCACCTCCTCAGGTCTCAACAGTCACCAGGGTGCTGCCTCCAGCTTTGGCCTGCTTGACCCAGAGCTGCCTAGGACAGATCAAAATCTAACTCAGCTTACATTCCTCTCCCACCTAAAATTTCTAGTTCATGCTGGAAACAGGGTAAACAAGGCCCCCACCTAGGCCCTGAAACCCTACTAACCTCTTCTCTGGCCACCTAACTCTAATGGCAGTGCCCCTGCCACATGGCAAACTACTCTGTCCTAGAAAGGCCTGGTGCCCCCTCCCTGCCACCCGGCATCAGCTGACCCTCCCTGTACCTCTCAGCGACTACACTGTTCTCTAAGAACCTGCCCATCCATGTGTCTATCTTCCTGAATGGGCTGCAAGCCCCTGAGGGGAGAGACCACATCTCCCTCAGTGTTACGTAGCTGAACTGCTCAGGCTGCTGCAGGCACAGTGGGGTACTCAGGAAAGGCTGCTGCATGGAACCCACCCACCTGTCCACCTATGGCCGCCCCTGGTCATTACCTCCTTCTCCAGCAGAGAGGTCAGCTCATTAGTGGAGAGCCGGTCACTTCTGTCCTCAGAAGAGGACAGGTGTAGAGGAGCAATGGGCACCTGCTTTTCTTCCCGGAGAGGGGTGGTCTCCACCTGATGCCACCGCTGCTCGATCTCTACATGGACGTTCTGTGTCTTGAGGTCGGGAGTCACAGGCAGCCCCGGGCTCCTATCAACTTCCATCCGCAAGGCCGCGTCATCAGCGGCTGGCCCGTCCACAGTGTCAAGCATCCCAAAGCGCTTGCGGCGCTCTTCCCGCCTCCGCGCACGCTCCCGCTCCAGCTCTCCTGGCTCTGCCTCAGGGAGGGTGTTGGGTGGCCCTGTGACACTGGCCCTCTCCTGAGCCAGGGCCTGCTGCAGGGGTCGGAACTCAGCCCAGTCGAAGGTCTTGGAGCGCCCCTCCCGTCTCCGCTCCCGAGCACGGCTCCTCTTCTGCTCAGGGTCTGGCTCCCTGGGCCCCGCCTCTTGCTTCTCACTCGGCCTTGAGCAGGTCTCCAAGGAGGAGCTGTTTCGGTTTTTCTCTTCCGGCAATGAGCTGGGGTAGGGGGCAAACAGCCTATCAGGTGTAGCTCCTGGTGCTCACCCCAGCAGAGGGCCGCAGCTCCACTGCTTTCCCCACATTCTTTTTCTACCTCTGCTGCAGATCCCTTGAAGCAGGGGGAGAAAGGACACTGTCATCATTTCCTTGGGGGGAACTCAAAGTGACTTCTGAGTGGGGATGCAAAAAGAACCACAGTCAGCCTGGGGGCTTCCAGCAGAGGGTACTACGAGGGTCCCCAACTGAGGAGATGTTGTAGGGGAGCATCACAATGGCCCTGCCCCTGCTAGGATGATGAAGCACAGGGAGCACACACCCTCCCACTTAGAGCCAAGGTCAGCCCCGTCAGGCTGCACCAGGCACAGCCGCTGTCTAAACCCTTCGTGAGGCAGACAGGCCCTGTGACGTGCACGTACTGGGCAGTGGTGACAGAGTGGGTGAGACTGGCCATGTCCCTTGAAGGGATCAAGTTTTTAATAAGCAGAGAAGTAAAGTAACATGGTCAGGTCTGTGTCTTAGGAAAACCACCCTGGTGGCTGGTATGATATTTGAGTCAGATGGACAGGCCCGAGATGGCCTGTGGACAAATGAGACATATGTCCCAGTTGTCACCAACTAGCCCGACCCACGCACTGGCCCACTTGACAGTTGGAGAACAGGTCCTCAATGGCACTTCTGCCTGCCCAGCAGCAAGTCCATGCCTTTTCTCAACTTGCCCCAAAGCAAAGATTCTTGAAGAGGAACAAACCTGGGCAGAGGCAGGGCAGAGGCATCAGTCATGGTGATTTGAGGCACAGATCTCCAGGCTCTTTGGATAAGCCTAAGACCCCGTACCCTGAACAGGGGGCCAGGGGGCAAAAAGCAGAATAGGATGCCACCTGGGGCTGAGAGGGCCAGCAGAGGGCTCCAGGGAGCACCGGTGTTTAAATGGGGGCCAAAGAGAAAGAAGCCAGGGAAAGAGGCACCCCAGGAAAAGAGAATGGAGTCACTAGCACCAGCTGGGGCCACCTGTCCCAGCAGCTAACTAGTAAAAAACAAAGTGCTTCAGAATGGTGTACGTTTCTAATTTAAGACCACACATGCATCTGAATAAAAATTCTCCAGAACAGACCTTCTGATGCCCCTGAACTGAGAACTGGAGCAGGCTGAGGATGACGTGGAAAATTGGAAGCAGCAGCCATGTCAAGACCCACCAGTCTCTCCAACAGAGGAAGCCCCTCCTGGGACCCCTGGAGCCCCCAGGCAGGAAGCCCCTACAACTCCCCACCAGATACAGGGGCCTACAGCACCCAGGTTCACCCAGCGCCTCTGATGTTTATATCTATTTCTAATATGTTCTTGGGGCTTAGCCTGGTAGCACTAAAAAATCCTTATTTTCTTCATACCATAAAAGCCCTCATCGAACAAGCACAAAGCTTACTCGGGGAAACAAAGTATCCACTAATTCTGAAGTAAATCCCAGTCAGAAAGACAATCATGTCAACCTTCCTACAGAAACAAAATGCCAGTCCCTGTGTACCCATAGTCCCCACATGAAGCCGGTGCCCCAGCGTGGAAGAGAAACATGCATGCCAGCCTCAGACATGCACTCTTTTTTAAAATCCTCACTTGAGGATATGTTTTTATTGATTGTTTAGAGAGAGAGGAGTGAGAGCGAGAGGGAGAAAGCGAGAGAAACATTGATGTGAGAGAGAAACATCAAATGGTTGCCTCCTGTACACACCCTGACTGGGGACTGAATCAGCAACCTGGGTATGTGCCCTGACTGGGAATTGAACGTGTAACCTTTTGGTGTACAGGAGGATGCTCCAATTGACTGAGCCACTGGGCCAGGGCTGGGAGATGCCATTTTTAAGCCACATGTGCACACAAGTGTGCTCGAGTGTGTCCTTTATATTGCTCTGAGGGCAAAGCCACACATGCCTGCCCTAACAGATCCCAAGCTAATATCCCCCAGCCAGATCCTCTCTCTGATGCACAGGCCCAGGCCCTAGTTGAGCAGCCAGGGCTGGCTGGGACAGGGTGAGCAGGTAAGTGCCAGTGGCTAGGAGAGGCCCTGACCTGAGGCCACCTGGCCCTTGTGTGTCCACTGCCCGAACCACCCTGCCTCTTGTAAGGAACGCAACAGCCTTGGCAGAGAAGCTTGAGTTGCCTCTTTTGCTTTGCTCTGGGGCATCCCCAAGTGCTCAGAAAGAGTGTGGGGCTTGTTAGGCTTTGGCCTCTGCTCCTGAATGGGAGAGAGCAGAGGGGCAGCTGCTGAGGCTGCCATGGGACGCAGCCCCATGAGGGCAAAGTGCCTCTTGCATCTCTGCACACAGGATGTGCTCCACTAACAGGACACTGAAAAGCGTGTCCGGTCACCACTTCCTGGCCTTACCAACTCAGGAACCACCAACTATTCTGTTTGTTTAATAAACAAACTAACAATGTTAATAAATATGGGAAAAAACAAAAGAGAAGAGTTATTTTGGGTTCCTTTCCTCTCTTCTTGTTCAAAGAGATGCAGTGTCACTAGGAAGAAAGGGACTTTAAAAGATCTGGCATGGCCACAGCTGCCCCAGGCCACCAGGGGGCACATGGCAGGCACCAGGGTCAACCACAGCCCGGCCTACAATGCAAGAAATACACTCGAGAAGTCACTCAAACTACAGCCTGAAAAATGTCGATGACAAGTTTCAGAGCAGGCGAGGCTGAAGGCCTGAGGCCAGGGCAGTAGCGCTTGGGGTACCACAGAGCCAGGTCCCCACAGTGGAGCCAGGTCCTTTTTCTTTTCAAGTGGAAACCAGCAAGTTTCTAACATCAGGGTTGGAGGCGGAAGGCAGTGAATCAGGAGATATATGAACCAGAGAGTCTTATGGGGGAGAATGGTTTTCCAACTCAGGCTCCGACACCGAGAATTTATGAGAACTTTTCCTGGTTGCACAGAAATCCAACAGATGTAGAAAAAAAAGCGGGGGGAAGAGAGAAAGAAATGCTGTGGTGGCCTATGAATGCAGCCTCCCAGGCTGCCCTCACCCACCTGGAGCACAGCCGCAGTGAAGCCCAGTGCCCTCCCCGACACCAGCGGGAGCTTAGCCCACGAAGTTCCGTTCTGACAGTGGCACAAATGCTACTTGTGTGGCTTACCAACCAGGGTTAGAGGAGGAAAAGGTCACCTGACAGAAAACCAGGATGCTGAAAAGAGAACGAGCGGGGCCAGCCAACGGTAGGACAAAGGAGGCAGGAAGAAGGCCTGCTGGGCCAGGTGTAGAGCTCAGGTCCCAGAAGAACCAACCCACAGAAAAGTGAGGCAGTGGCCCCTGGGGAAGGAGGTTCCCTCAGACTTTACCTTGTCACATCCGGGGCAGAGGTCGGATGGACGTGCTTCATGATGGTCTGGATCCAATTCCGCCGGATTCCAGACGTCATAGCAGAGAGGGTGAACTCACCCTCCTTCGTCTACACAACAGACAAGGCACTATCAGTGACCGTTGTTGGCCTGCCCACCCTCAAAAGAAGTCCTGCAGGGAAGACTGTAGCCAGGTGGCTGTCTCAGGAGCACCGTGTACACCCCACTTGGGATAAAGGAAATAGCAAAACTGTGGACATTAATTTGCTTTCATGGTAATGGAAAACTCAAGTATCTCCCTCTCTGTTGGATTCAGAACGCATTTACTGAGTACCTACAATGTCCGGGCACTGAGGTGACTTACCCTGCTCTTTAAGAAACTCCCAGACTGGAGGGAAAGAGTGTGAACATGTGAGGAGCAGTGGGGGAAAAAAGGCCCACAGCACAGCAGGGCTGGGCTTTGTGGGTGGGGAAGGTTGGGAGGTGGATGGGGAGGAGGTGCACATCCCAGGCAGGGGAAACAGTAAGAGCCCAGGCCTAGAGCCATGCAGCCACACTCATCAGCACACAGGGCAATCAGGGAGAGGACAGGCACGCACGAGGCTGGACAGGCAGGCACAGGTGTGATGGAGACTGTGTCTCTAGGGCTGAGAAGAGGGAGGGAGGCCTGCTGGGTGGTTTGGGCAGTTGTCCAGGAAATTAGAATTATCTAAGTGATGGCAGAGGTGATAGAGAAGAGGGAAGGGAGCACTTCTAGGACAACCACTCGATTCTGTGATTTGAAGGAGCTGGTGGGACATCAGTCAGGACAGAGGAACACATCTGTAGTGTGGGGCAGTGCACAGACAGGAAGGGAGGGAAGCCAGATGGAGGAGCAGAGAGGAGGCAACATGGCCAGTGAGGGTGGGGAGTAAAGTGTCCTCTGGGGCACCTGGCCCTGCACCACCAAGGGGCCCTGCCCAGCACCTCCTAAGGAGGAGAGGGATGGGAAACACGGGTGGCGGTCTGCATGGAGTCCATTTCTCTGCTTCTGCACCTATAGGCAGCTACCTCACAGAAGTGAGGGTGTCAGTCCTGTTCTTCAAGCTGCTCAGGCTACTCAGGAACAAATCCATGAGACATGTTAGCAAATCAGCTGATGGGAAGATAAAATTACCACGATGGTTTTGGGCTGGGTACTGGTGTGGCCAGGGACTTGCTTGGACTTGACCTCATCTTCCACCTTAGGCCCCACCAGCATGCCCATCAGAGACAGCACACAGCCCATGACTCCTCTCCTCTGGTTTTCCCTTGTTGTACTCTGAGGGTGGGGGCATGGCCTCCAAGCAATCTGAAGCACTGCCCCCTTGTGCCCTGGCCCTCCCTGTGACCCTGAGACCTGCTCACTCTGCTGGGGTCCTCTGCCTCCTCCCACTCCCAGCTATGGTTGTTCTGCAGTCTGCTCCCACCAATCTCCATGTTCTTTCCCATGACCTCATCTTCCTCTTTCCCAACTGTAGGTCCACACTTGTGGCTGCCTGTCTAATGTTCTCAGAGAGCCCATCATAGCCAGAATTCCAGATGCTCTACTCCTTTTGTGAAGTCACCTCTGCTGCCCAACTTCGGCACAAGACCTCACACCTGCCTCCTCCCTCACACGGCCAGAACCATGGCTCAGGTGTGCTTCCTCCACAGTGCCTCTCAGCCACTCCTTTCTCTTCTGCCCATCACCACTGTGCCTGCTTAGTCTCCTGCCTCGCCCTTCACCTTCCTGCATGTCCTGCTGGATGTGTCTTACTATTGCACAACTACTTTGTGTCTTCCTCCACGTTCCAGTACATTCCACAACATCAGGTTCAGACTGACTTCTGACCAGACACTCAGGGCTCCCCTGCTTGGCTTCTGTACTTAGCTCCCTTGTAGGTGCCACTAGATCTGGTGGCCTGGCTATAAACACTGCATACTCATTCCTCCACCCTTGCCTCTCAAGATCCTAAAGCTCCCTAGTGACACAAGCTGAGACCCTCCAGGACCTGCTCTCCCACACTGAGATCAATCTCTCCTGACCTAGTCCCTTCAGTCCATGGGGCTCATGGAAAAGCATCAGAACTTGGAATAAACTCCTGCCTCAGGGTAAAGTGAAGGGGGTCAGACTGACAGGTGACAGCAAACCACATGGTTTAGACCCTAGAATAATTAAGTTGTAACTTGCTCAGTGATGGGAGCTGACTTACGTGACAAGCGACCTCTTACCTTAGGATACCCTGCCCAGAGAAACCTTTGGGGTGGGGAGGTCAGGTGAAGGTGGACTCAGCGTGGGGCCTAGAAAGCCAGAAATCATTGTCTCCCAATGCTGTCCGAAGACAGAGGCTCAGGCCCAGCTCATGGAGCATGTCTGTTCCTCCTGCAGGGACCAGGGGCAGGAGAGCATCATAGCTGGGTGGCTGAGACCCTAAGATCCACCAGCTCCTGCCCTGGCCTCATGCAGAGCCATCTCCGCAATTCCAACTATGGGTTAGCACCCACAGGGAGGGAATGCCACGGCCAGCAGCCAGGAGGATGGGGGCAGGATTTCGTCTTATAAAGAACACTCTGGCCTTTGGGTCTGAACCTCAGTCTCCTTTTAAGCTTGGTTAATATGAGTCAGTCTCAATGTGCCTGATCTGCTTTGAGTCCAATGATACAACTGAGTTTTTGCACCCAAAAATCTGAAGGTAAGACCCTATTAAAGTTCCAGCCTTTTGTGAGAAACAAAGCGCCAGGGGCCAGCCCTTGTAGTGGCAGCTCTGCCTGTCAGGCTGTTCCCTACCTATCATGTACTCATAGGGCTCTGTGAGGAAAGAGTTAGCTTTGCACAAAGAGGCCTGGTCTTTGTACTGGCTCCTGAGAAGTAACCTGTGAACCCTTGTTATTCAGGGTTGAGGCTGCTATGCTTTAAAGACGAGCCATAGCCCGGCCGCACGTGGCTCAGCGGTTGAACGTCGACCTAGGATCCAGGCGATCAGGGTTCGATTCCCGGTCAGGGCACATGCCCGGGTTGCAGGCTCTATCCCCAATGACTCTCCCATCATTGGTGTTTCTATTTCTTTCTCCCTCTGCTGCCCTCTCTCTGAAATCAATAAAGATATAAAAAAAAAAAAAAAAAAAA